AGGGTTTAGGGTTTAGGGTTTAGGGTTTAGGGTTTAGGGTTTAGGGTTTAGGGTTTGTGTTTGGCGCAGGTTTCGGTGCGAAGGCAACGCAGCTTACAAAGACCGCAACTTCGGACTGGCAGCTGTTTGCTACCGCAAGGTGAGTCATTTAATTAATTTAATTAATTTAAATTAATTAATTAAAATTAAGCAATTGATTTAATTAATTAGTTCAATTAGTTAAATTAATTAAATTAATTAAGTTAGCTGTTCATTTAATCAAATAGAGGAAGCAAGGGCTGCTTCTGCCACTGCTGCAGCTGCTGCCTTGGTTCTGCTGCTGCAGTCAACGCTTCTGCTGCTGCTGTTGCTGCTGCTGCTGCTGCTGCGTCGGTGCCTGAGTGGCCCCCTGGGCTCTTCATCTGCCGAACGGCAGCAGGAGCAGCAAGAGCAGCAGCAGCAGCAGCTGCTGCTGCTGCTGCTGCTGTACACCTCAATTTCTTGCGCCGGCTCCCCCGCCGCGAGCCCCCCACCCTGCCGCTTCTGCTGCTGCTGCTGCTGCTGCTGCTGCGCAGGCGCTGCTGCAGCTGGACTACACCTTTCCTTCGACAGCAGAAGAAGAAGTTCTCTTCAGCCAGGCGAAGCTGCCGGCCCATTTGAACTTGGCTGCATGCAAGCTGCAGCAGCGGGACTTCGAGGAGGTGTACATACAGTGCAGGCTGGTTCGACGCGCTGCTGCTGCTGCTGCTGTGCTGCTGCTGCTCTGCGGCTGCTGCGGCTGCTGCTGTTGCTCTGCAGCTGCTGCTGTGCTGCTGCGACTGCGGCTGTGCGGCTGCTGCTGTGTGGTTGCTGCTGCTCCGGCTGTGCTGCGGTGCTGCTGCTGCGGGGTGCCTGTGCTGCTTGCTGCTGCTGTGGGGAGTCTTGCTGCTGCTCATACGGATGCTGCGGGTGCGACCACCGCTGTTACTGCTGCTTCTGCTGCTGCTGCTGTGCTGCCCGATGTCTCACGTCAAGAAGGCGTCAAAGCCATAGGGCTTAGGGTTTAGGGTTTAGGGTTTAGGGTTTAGGTGCCCCGCAGGCGTTGCAAATTGACCCGAAGAACTGCAAAGCCTTTTACAGAAGAGGAATGGCCCAAATGATGGAAGACCACCTCCAGGAGGCGCAGC